AATATAATTTATATATTTAAAAATATCTATTTATATAAATTTTATATATAATTTATATATTCAAATATAATATTTATATATATATAATTTATTATAAATTTTAATCATAAATAATAAATATTTAGTTTGTACATAGCAAACTATAATACGTAATAGTTAATTTTATATGGATAAAAAGAGACTTTTACGTTCAACATTTTGTACCTAATTACTACTTGATAAGCCAAATTATCGATCATACAAAACATTAGTTTGTATATATCTTTATGTGTTTAACTACAATTAATGTGTATTTTTGTTTTAATAATTTTCAATAGCAATCAATCTTTTATTATCAAAATTAGGTTTCTTTACCAGATTATCTTCAAATTATTTGCTGAAGTTAATAGCGTAATCATCAATTTACATACGTAACATGATATTCTTCTGCTAAGCTTTTAAAGGAATTTACCGACGATTTTAATTCATTTAAATATATCACGGTTGATTTTTTCTTCTTTTTCTTTTCACTATTGCGCCTTAAAAAAATAATAAGGAGACATCTTTATATAAAAAAATATTAATTATAATCAACAAATTAATTTTTTCTTTAATTCTAATTATAAACAGCAATCATTAATTTTTAAAAACACTCGATGTCAAAAAAATTTACTCAAGAGTAATTTTTTATATAATTATTCTTCTGCTTAGTGATTTTTTTATGCTTATAATTATGATCAAATGTAGTATCATTTAATATTTAATAAATTTATATGTATATTTAAATACACCACAAAAGCATGTGAGACAAAAATTAAGATATTAACTTTATAAAATGTTGATAATTGTTAATCATATTTTTCAATTTTTTTGTTGTTGCTTAGGTATCTTTTGATAAATAAAAAAAAAATAAGTCTTTTATGATATGAAGATCTATTTAAGGATTTGGCTTTCTCAAAATAAGATGCTCTTTGGTATGTAGAGACTAAATAATTAAATTTTTAATCACCTACTTACGAAACATAGCTACTTTACTAGTTATTACTACTTGGGCTCATTTTTTCTTCGTCTAATTTTATGTTATTAATTTGATAAATAAAGGAAATTAATTTTTTATTTTTCAAAATTTGAATATTTTCTTATTAAATTATCAAAAATATACACATAATAAAAGTTTTAAAATGTAATTAATTGTAAAAAATTATATTGACATTAAATTAAAATTCAATTTTTATATTTGACATGCATTTTAAATATATTTAATAAATATAATAAACAATATATAGCAAAAAAAAGGGTAGTCACTTATGTTTATATATCTATTATTTTTATTTTTTTATTTTATTTTTTTCTAATATAGAAATCAAAAGACTAGTTTTTTAAAAATAAAATATGACATTTATTATCAATATATTTTTAACATTTTATTTATTTATTTATCCATTCGCTAGCTTAACAAAATCCCTTTTTATTTTTTATTTATCAAAAGGTTAAGTTGAGCCTAAAATTTTCAAACCGCTTTCTCTTTCTATTAGGATGCGAGAAACAAATATAAACCGCGATATTTAGACATTAAAACGGTGTGCTCTGGTCTCTGTTTAGGGTTTTAAATTAGGTTGCGCTCAGAAGTCAGAACGATTCCTAGAAGAACAGTTTCGTCTCTTTCTCCTTTTTCCTGTACGAACTCGCAAGGTTTCTTTGTCCTCACTCAAGGTAATCGCATTCTTATTCTCACACCATCTTTTCGCAATTTATTGTTTAACTTTTCCACATAAAAAAAAAACGAAGAAAGCGCGTTGGAGTGTTCGACTTTGGTTGTGACGATTGTTAGTTGTTTGTTAGGGTTAGGGATGCGGCGGAACAGTCCAGGATATTACAGTCCTCCGCGGCGAGGATACGGTGGCCGAGGAGGAGGCTCCAGTAGGAGGGGATACGGTGGAGGCAGGCGCAGGGATAACAACAATGGAAGCCTCTTGGTTCGGAACATTCCTCTCGATTGCAGACCCGAGGAGCTTCGTGTCCCTTTCGAGCGATTTGGGCCTGTTCGCGATGTTTACATTCCCAAGGATTATTACACGGGGTGAGTCAACCACATATCTCAACTACCTAGCCTTTGTTTCAGATTAACATTTTTTTAAGGTTATGTTTGTGTTTTCTAATTGGTGGGAGGTTGTTGAGTAGTTAGTTATTTCAGGGTGTCAAAGTGCAGCTGGGTGAAGATGTTAGTCTTGATTTTGTTGATTAAGTTTTTTTTTTTTTTTTAATTATTGGATTGTTGAATTGATCTTGGAATGGTTTGTCAGGGGGTATGTTGGTTTGAAATTGTTCAAGTTAAAACAAGACCAAGCCCCAAGTTTGAAGAGGAGATCAACTCACTCTTTTAACATGTTGGTTCCCAAGTTTGTTAGTGTTCATACTTCAAACCAAGAGAAATTATATAATTACACAACACAATGAATGGAAGGTTGGTTGGTTCTTGTCCCAAATTGGAGGCTTCGTGAGGAGGTTTTTTTAGGTTGTGGGAGCTTTGAGTTCAAGTGCTTAGAGTCTTGAAGAATTTTCCAAGTCACTTCTGTATACTAGAGTGTAAAGGAAACCGGTCACAACTAAGCTTTGGATTTTTAGAGGATTTAGTAAATTCAGCATCGGCTGCTGTGTGCGTGTTTCAAGTGTGTAAAGAAAGCTATACTAAGTAATGTGATTGAGGTGGTTTACTGGGGTATGCAAATTCTGCCTAGTCAGCATATTCTACAATCTGTGTCTGCCAATGTTTTTCTAGCAGTGTTAGAATGAAGCTCCACTTTTTTCCCCCTACAGAGAACCTCGAGGCTTTGCATTTGTGCAGTTTGTGGATCCGTATGATGCCTCGGAGGCACAGTACCATATGAACAGACAGATTTTTGCTGGAAGAGAAATAACTGTTGTTGTGGCTGAAGAGACGAGAAAAAGACCCGAGGAGATGCGCCACAGGACTAGTAGATTCAGGTATTTCTTTTGCTTTTTCATGTGTCTGCCTCATGTGATGGATTACAAAACTACCTTGTAGCTTAACTATTCCTCATAAAATGTTTTTTTTTTTTGTATTTTACAGAGGACCAGGGGGCTATGGGGGGCAAAGGTCTTCCCGTTACGGTAATGTTGATTTTAAAATGTATAGCTGGGGCTTTCATCCGTGTTGGATATAAAATTCTATTCCATCCGTAATTGTAATGCATTTTTTTTTCTACTGGTACATTAGAACTTTTGTCTCTGGGTGAATATGAGAATGAAATGATAGTTTGAGAGATGGATGTCTATTCTAATTGAATTGATACTTTTATAATCTTTTTTTTTGCTGCTCAGAATCACTGTTTTCTAGTTATCTTAAAAAAATTGCTGCCATGTCATGATTGTGTCTGTTCCAATAATGAATCTGAACTCTATACCATGGCTTATTTTAGTCAGAATTAGCTTTAGTGGATTTAAGCCACCCCTTTTTTTAATTTTATGTAATCAGATGTGTAGAACAATGGTGTTAATTTGCTTTTTATAGTTCTGTAGACTTTATACCCTTGGTTCTATTATCATAGTGATAGTAGATTTCTCCAGTTATTAATTGTAAGGATTTTGGAACCTACATGATATGTTCTTATGTCTTTAAAAGCTATTTAAATTAACATTGCAAGTTTAGTTAGCTTACCGAAAATCATCATAAGCACTTAAGCCTGCTGCCTAACTGGAGTGCTGGATACCACCAATGATTGTTATGATGTGGATTCAGACACTGCTAACTTGCCAGGGCGGTGATTGCTGGCAGCCAATTTCTCATAATGCTTTTATAGCTCATGTTTTGTTAGTCATGACTTGTATGTGCATAACTTGCTAGTTTTCTGGTAGCATGGTGGGAACCTTTCCTGGAGACATGTTTTTTCATAATATTCTGACTCCCATTCTCTCTCAAATTTTGGTTAATCATTTAATTGATTAGGTTGCACCTTTTAATAATTCCAAATTTTCATGCATCTTGTTAAATTCAGAATTAATAACTAGTTAACTACTTTATGTGATGCTTTCGTTTATTTGAAGAAATGTGCAATATTCAAATTTTGTTCTTCTGTTGGCCCCAATGTGAAAGGGCATTGCTTTACATTTCTTATCCAGAGTACTGGTTTTTGTTTATCAGGGCGTTCCCGATCTCGCTCAAATACCAGATCGCGCTCACCACCTTATCACTCTGGTTCTAGAAGTCGATATCGCTCAAGGCAAGTTTCTTCGAATTGTCTTCTCCTTATAGTCCATTGAAACATGTAATCATGGTTTTAATTTTAATTTGACACTAACCAGGTCCTATTCTCCCGCTCCAAGACGGCAAAGTGATTACTCTGTTTCCCCTAGGAGGCACGCAGAGCATCCTAGATCACCAAGAGGTCCTCCTGTGGAGCGAGATGGTGATCAAAAGCGTAGGTCCTATTCTCCTGCTTATGGCAATGGTATTGAACAGAATCAAAGCAATGGATATGCTGAGTGAGTATAATTATTTTTTGGTTTAGCTTCTTTACTTGACTTTGTACCCGGCTCTCCCCCCACACTTGTTTGTTTCACTATGTTAAGGAAATCTATGTACAAGTCTGAAGCTGATCGTGATCGAGGCCAGTGGAAGTCTTCAAGATCACCCCTTGGATCTAGATCTAGATCAAGATCTGCTGATTTGTCACCTAGGCGTGGAAGATGAGGTAAAATTTCACGAGTAATTTTATTATTATTTTTTACATTGGGAAATTGGGCTTTCCTTGGGTTTTAATTTGTTTTGATGGTTTTTATCATGCAGGTTGCAGGTCGCTGGCAATGTGCTGCTGGGCTTCTGTATATCTGCAATTTATCACGACATTTTTAAAAAAACCTGTATTTTGCGGACATGATGGATGAATGTATAATAATTGTCTTGATGTGCGTGTTCTTTCTGGGACAAGTTGAACTTGTTAGAACATGGTCTACAACCTTGAATGATGAATTACCTTGAGTTTGTTTTATGACCCCATGATTCAATATTTAACTGCTGCGGTTGTATGAGCCTGTCACACTGAGCACAAATTGCAAATTAAATGGTTAACTGCACTCGGAAGGAATTTGGAAGTGAAATTTATACCCTAGTTTGGTAACGAGTGCTTGCTTATGGACGGATGGTAGGCTGGAAGAGCAAGACATCTCTCAGGGTTTTACCAACTTTATTGTTGAATATTTATATATAGAGACAAATGACTTGTTTTAAGAGTAAGTTTGCATAATTTTATTACAAAAAATTCATGTTTTATAGTTAGTTTTAATGATTTAATTGTTAAATTAAAATTTTTTAATACTATATATGTAAATTTTTAAAAAAATTTATAAATAATTAAATATTTTGTTTTATTAATTTAGATTAATGTATAAAAAAATATTTTTATGAAAATGTCAATTTAATATAGGACATGAATCATTGATTCAAGTAAATTTAAGTAGTTTTATTCTTTAAGTAATATATATATATATATATATATATATATATAATAGATGGTGTAGAATTTTTTCCCCTTTTTCCATTTACCGGTGTAGAATTTTTCCCCCTTTTTCCATTTACCTTTCCCTTCTCTTTTATTGTCTTCCTCTCCTCTCCTCTCTTAGCTTTATAGTCAAACATCAACTAGGATAACTCTTATCTAGACCTTATAAAGCTTAGCTAGCTTTTATTTTGCAAATTAATTTTTGGTTGAGTTTAATTAGATTCAAATTTATATGCTAAAATTAGAATAATGAATTTTTTTTTATTCGTCCCTGGAGTATTCACCGCTGATAGCAATGACTAATTTTCTTGTTACTTTGGAAGCACCTCAAAGGGTGGGATAGCTGGTCCTAAAATTTAATGCTAAAATTTAATGCGGTTGCATACACAATCTGATCTTGCTTAGAAATAATGAATTTTAGCACACGTCCAAGGGAAAATTCTCATTAACAATCATTTTTCTATTTTTCAGTTACTTTCTGAATGCAGAAGGGTCCATAAGTGGCAGTGTTTTTGAAACTAACCTTGATTTTTAATTTCTCTATCTCAGTCGTTAATAAAGTTATAAAAATATTTTATCTCAGTAACTTATTGTGTTTTCTTTAATTTTCAGTGAATAAAAATGTGGTGTGTATATAACTAAAATTACTAAAGTAATTAAAATTAGAAAATAAACGAGAGAAATTTATATTTAATGTCTTAAAATTTTAATTTATGTTATTATGATTTTTAAGGCGATGACTACAGTAAACTCATATATGGTTCATCGGTGCATCAGCCCAGAAGTGCTATTATAATAATGAAGAAAATAGTTAGAGGTGTAGATGCTCAGCCACTATTTTTTTTCTTCTTATTTACTTAGTATTTTAAAAATTAAATTTATTTATTTAATATTTTATTTTAAATAAATTTATTAATACTAAAATGATATTTATTTATTCTAGTAATTTATTTATTGTTTTATAATTTTAACTTAATTTTTATTAACATATAAAAATAATATTTACTCACTTTTATAATTTATTTATAATTTTATATTTTTAAATAAGCTTAAATAATTTATTAAAAATATTTTCTTACTGTAGTGTACTTTTTGACTGGTGCAACGGTGAATCATTATAACCGGCGCTGATAATTAAATAATAAGATGCATTAAATATGAAACTGTTACGATGTCATGTTGAATATAATGCTAAATATGAATTTTCAAATTTAATAAATATTTAAAACTGCCAAAGTAACGTTCGTTGTTATCTTCATTTGACTCAGTTATAGCATGCCGTGTGATTTATTCTATACAAGTCATCCTCTGGAACCAAAAGAAAAATGGAAAGACGTGGAATAACGTAGGTTCCGTCATTTTCATTTTTTTTAGTTAAAATTAAAACTATTTCACTCGTTTTCATGTTACTTGTGTGACACGAGGAAGGCTTCTAGAAACCAAAAAAAGGAATTTAGTTTATACTTGTTTTTACACTAACAAAATCATTTTTTTTATTTAAATAATATTCAGAATATAATGAAAATTTTCATTATTAATGTTTTCTGCATCAAATGAAATAGAATTTTTCGTTAAAAAATGAGTTATCAAATTATTTTTATCTTTTACTATATTAAATGATAATAGAAGGAGAAAGCTTTATGAACCGTCTAATTTGTAAGAATTATATCACACTCAAAAATATTTTTTCATTAAAATAAATTTAATCTACTATTAATTTGTAATCTGATTTAATAATCACATTATGAAGTTAGTGTACGGGGAAAGAATGCAATGCAGTACTTATTTTTTTCTCTTTTTATCGATATATTCGTTTTGATAAAGATAGTTTTTATTTGTAAAAAAATTATCTCTTTCATTCTTTAAACAAGTTTCCATTCATGTGATTTCTTTCTTAATAAAAAAAAAATTGCATCATAATTACACTTCAATTTAGATATCTACACATTTAAAGAAAATTTCATAATCTACATAAAATTTATTTGATATTCACCAACATTCAATATTTTGTTAGCATTTAACCAATGGAGAGTAAAATTTGTTTTAATTGTTATTGCATCTACTTGTTTATACATTATATTTCACACCATTTCATTTCTTAAAATACTCCACATAATCATAAATTTTTTTTTGATATTTTAATAATTATCCACTTAATTTTAAAAATAAATTCCTAAATGACAGTTCAATATAGCTTAATTAATTTGTAACCACAATTCACATATGTGTCGGACTTCAAATTCTTAAATTAATTAATGATAAGTAGATATATTTTAAATTTTTTTATAACAATTTGAATTAGTATGAAAATTATTTAATATTATAAAAATATAAATGTTTTTATGTGATATGAGAAATTTCCTGTAAATATACACAGGATTTGAGTTTTTTCACCATAAATTTTAGGTCATACATGACAAAGATTTTCTTTTCAATCACAATTTTTGACGTGAGGGAATCTATTTAGAGGTTTATTCATTCGTCCTCGTTTGTATCACAGGATGCTCATTTTGACTTTTAAGGTTTCTTCTTGCATGTAAACCAAACCAAACCAAACCAAACCAGAGAGAGAGAAAGAGAGATGGCAATTGGGTTCATGGAGGTGAAGCTGGTGAAAGCAAAGGGTCTTCAAGGAACTGATCTCTTTGGTACATTACATCTTTTCCTCATATTTTATTTCTTTATTTCCTCATATTTAAGCATTTTCTCTTTCTAAAAATGGGATTTTTCTCAACATTCATTTTTCCATTATATTCAACTCCTTGTTCAGCCTCGATCTGAGTCTTCTCACATCTCAATTCCTCGAGTCCAGTTTAGCTTAGATGGACTCAAGGGATTGCCATGATGATTTTCTTCTCGATTAGTTCTTCTCCTTCTTACTAGACAACGGAATGAAATTCTCAAATATATACAAGTTTTCATATCATTCTATTCTCTGATTCCAACGAGGTTCTGTTTATTTATTACTTTAATATGTTTTCTTTGTTGATAGCTCGTATGGATCCGTATGTCCTGTTACAATACAAAGGTCAAGAGCGCAAGAGCAGAGTAATTCATGGTTAGTTCTGTGCTCATTAACAAACATGACTGGAAATGCTTAGTATTTCATGATTTTTGTCTGCATGTGCTGAATTGTTGAACTTGGGATGGAGGGATAAGGAAAGGAAACTTTTAATTGTCACCAATTGCCATGATTGCCTTTTGCTGTAGTGTTGTTGTAATGTAGATGACAGCTGAGCGATGTTTCACTTTTGACATACCATTGATAGATACGATTTCTTAAATTGTGTTTTTTAAGTACTTAGGTTCACTAATGTAGTTCATGATTAGCCGGACTTAACCCAAAATTGAATTACTTATAGATAGTAGTTAATTTTCCCAAAATAGCAGAAGGATCAATTGGAGAGATTTATATATTTGACACACGAGTACTCAGTTTAAATTTCTTTTGAACTGTGTAGTTCATACAAGAAATTGGTTCGTATACACGACCTCAAAACTTATGTCGAGCTTTTCTAACATTTCCACGTGTGAGATTGCAATAGTTTGGTAAAATGAAAAATGAAATATGAACCAAGAATTTTGTTAGATTAGATTTAGCATGAAGGAAGTTATCTGCAAGTTGTATGCTGATGCAATCTGTTGTTCTTCCTTTCTTTTTATATGAAGGAATTAAGTATTTTGTAATTAGATGCTTAGAGCTTAAGAATCTCACGCAAAAAGGGCACCTGAATTAGAATTAAGAGCTCTGTCAGACATGGGATTTTCTTTCCATCATTTCTGTCCTCTCCTCCTTCCTTTCCTTTGTGTTTATTTCCCTATTTCCTTTGTTGAAGATGAGCAAGCAAAGCATAATAAGTTTGCTTTCTTCATACATTACTAGCCTTAAAGTAACACAAATGCTAATAAAAACTGTGCTGTGAGGGACTTTCATTTTCTTTTTTCCATTAATAAGGTTTTTGGCTAGTTGACTTTATTTAATAATGCAGAAGGGGGAAGCAATCCAGTATGGAATGAGAAATTTGTATTCAGAGTCGAATACCCTGGATCAGGTGACCAATACAAGCTCAACCTTAGAATCATGGATAAGGATGTATTTTCTGCAGATGACTTTGTTGGCCAGGCTACGTAAGTTTTCAATAGCTTCTCAAATTAAGTGCATTAGTAATGATGATTTGCTCTTATTGACCAAGTGTTTGTTTAGATATAAGTTTATAAAAGTTTTTGCAAACTTTTTTACTGAAAATAAGGATTTTTTTAACTAATAGAGAAACTCTTTAGAACGCTTTTAAGCTCGTACTCGAAAAGATTCTAAGTGCAAAATGATGTCTTGGTAGTTTCTAAAATTTTCTTGGTAACTTTTGGATACGGAACTTATTAAGCATTTTGATTACTTTATATCCACCAATGTAGGGTGGCACAAAATGTAAAATGAGAAGGACACCCTACAGGATCATGAGAAAAAGATCATAAAACATATCCTTACATTTATTTCTTGCTCAGATAATAATGAAGGGTCAATTTTCTGTATCCAGAATCTATGTGAAGGATTTATTGGCAGAAGGAGCAGAGAATGGATCAGCTGAGCTTCGTCCTCAAAAGTATAGTGTGGTTCGAGCTGACCAATCTTATTACGGCGAAATTGAAGTTGGTATAACTTTCACCCGAAAGGTAACCTTTTTATAGCTTGAAAGTAGTTATTTTTTGTTAGGCAAATAACTGCTAAGAATAAGAGTTTGAGTTCATATAAAAAGAATGCTAGTTATGATGCAAGATGATAAATTTGAAATAAAAGCTAGTCAATATGAATAATATGAAATCATATTTGGAGTTTCTTTGATGTTGTTCTTGGAATTCACAGGAAGAGGAATTTAATGATGATGATGTTGGAGGATGGAAGGAAAGTTGCTTTTAGTTCATTGTGCTTCAGATATGGATTTTGGAGTGGAACATGGAAACAACTCTTGAAGTCTTTTATGTCGTTGAATATGCATAGATTTTGAAATCCCTTCTAGTGCTTGTGATGTGATGAAAACATTTGACATTAACATAGTTGTTCATGAGTTTAATCATACATTTTGTAATCATCAAACAGGGAGTGAATGTACATAATAATCATTACTTGGAACTCTGGTCTCTGATTAAAACTCTGAAATTATCTTTTTCTGTGTGTTTGCTTCCCATAAATCTTCATTTGGTAACAGGTAATTAGGTGGCAGATTTTCCACTACAAATGCTCCCTTTGAACTTGATTTATCTACATAGTTTTGAAAGTATCTTTGAACTTAATTTATCTACTTGGTTTTGGAAGTATCTTTGAACTTGATTTTTATGTTTAATTGTTATATAAATACAGCGGGAATCAAATTACTCGAAGAGTAATTTTTTAAAAAGAGTTATTTCACTAAACATATTATTGTATATATTAAATTTTAACAATTTAATGGTTAAATTAATTTTTTTAATGAACAAATCAACTCTACAAAATTTAAAAACTACTTGATATCTCATTAACTAAGTTCAAATTTTAAAATTATGATACTTTGTTATATAAACTCAAATCAACTTATAAAATATTTTATAATTATCCGTCAATTTGAATTAATGAAATGAAATATTAAAATAATTTTTAAATTTCTTTAAAATTTTTAATCTTAATTTATACATTAAGAATTTTTAATTTAACGGTTAGAATTAGATCGTTAAAATTTGATGTAAAACATTAGTTATTAAGAATAAGGGAATCCCTTTTATTATGTTTTAATTTATATATAAAGATAAGATTCGCCAACACTATCATTACATTTTTATATTTACACCAAATTTAAATAGTATACAATTATTTAAATGATTTATAATATCATAAAATAGAGTAATTTAAATATATTTATCAATTAATTAAAGTTTTTGAATTGATTTAATTTCTTTAACTTTATGCTTTAATTATTTGTGAAAATCATTAACATAAATTATAACATTATTTTTACATAATTTTAATTATAAATTTTAAAAATTATACTAGGGTGTTAACACGATCAATTTTTTAAACATTGGTATGAATTTATAATCTTTAACATATAAAAAAAATAATTTGACTTGTTATACACATTTTTTTAAGATGATTTTACTCTTAAATTTTTAATTAATAAAAAATATTATTAAAAACTAATTATCCTTGTTAACACAACTTAAACTTGAAATCTTAAGATTTAAAGATTAAATATAGTATCAGTTGATCTAATAAATATTAATAATTTTTTAAAATATTTTTATTAAATAAAATATAAATACATGAAATATATGGGTTCCATTAATTACTATAATCTCGTAACTCTTAATTTAATTTTTATAGATAAAAAAACTTATTTTTTTTATCACATTATTTATTATATTTTTTTTTTCATATATCCTCTTAATATAGATAATATTTTAGGAAAATTGATATGAATAAAATTTCTCAAAAGGGAATGATAAATAAATAAACATTCCGTTGAAAGATGTTTATTTGAGTTTAATTTGTATACCTTATTACAATATAAATTTTGGATTTAATGATAATACATTGGTAATGTAAAAAATTTATATAATTAATGATCAAAAAATCATAATTTACATGATTTTTAAAGTAATTATTATAAAAATTAATAAATTTAGTATTCATAATATATTGTAATTTATTAACTAAGTAAAATTACTTTCAACTTTGGTGTATGAGCGTTAAATTCATAAATTAAAATTTTATGGTGTGAATCATTAGTGACTATTGAGACGTCATGAGTTTGATCTAGACATCAACACTTACATAATAAAGACAAGCTTAATAACCGTAAGACGTGACACCAAATAAAACTAGGTTTGACTTGTCATCACTTCTCCAGCCAAACCGATTCTCTCTTTTTAGTCTTCTAAACGGTTTTCTCTCTCTCTCTCTCTCTAAACGGATTTGGTACAGGAATAAGAATAAGAAGGAAAAAAAAAAGTCTAATCCTTCAATATCCCTCGAAGTTAAACATGATTCAATAATCCTATTTATAGTTTGAGTTGAAGTTTGATATAATTTTATTGAAAAATTAAATATCTTTTTAATTTTTATAAATTGTTTTTAATTTTTCTTCTCTCTAAAAAATTGGAATCGTTTTTTTTTTCTTTCTAAAAAATAACAAATTTTAGTATTGATTTCTATAAAATATTTTTCTTTTGCTTTTCATTCTTTTAAAATTTAAATCACTATGTTTATTCTTCATGTTCATTTAAAACAAATAAGTAACATTTACTTTAATAATTTATATATAAAAATTTAGATACTACATACAAAATATGATCACTTGATCATATGATAAATATAAAAATAGTTAACAAGGATCACAAAATATTAGAAATTATAAGCAAAAAAAATCAATTTTAGAGGGATCGATAAAAAAAACTATAGGAAACAAAATCAAAAGTAACTTATTTTTCAAGAAATAAAAACATATTCAAACCTTTATGAAATTATCATCACTGCTATTAGATAGTTCTGAATAATTTTAATTTAATTTGATATATTATTGTAAACTTATATTTTATATTAACTAATTAAATAATACTTATTACTTTTAAATAATTATCACAAAAATATTAATTTTCAATACCATGAAAAATTATAACTAATTTATAATATACTTTTTTTTTGTTAAATTGTTAATATATTTCATTTAAATCCATATAATGTTTGTCATCATTTCATTAATAAGGCATATCTAGGATGAATTATTTTCTTTTTTCTTTTCATTTTTAAGCGAAATTTATTTTAAAGTTTAGTCTAATACAATTTTATGAATAACATTCTCATTTTATTATTATTTATTTATTTTTAGCAACAAAGTTATAAATCAAAGTATTATAGTCGAATCATTCCAATATTTCATTTTGATTTTTATTAAAGAAATAATAATTACAAGTATAATGAAAAAAATATTTTATAAACAACTAACACATTTTTTTAAAATATATTATTTTAACCTAGTTAATATTTTATGAGGTATTATCTTTTATTAATACGTCTTTTGCAATCTTTTAATTTTAACTCTATTATATATATATATCCCCAATACGATGTTCATATCTGTATCTGAATTTTAAGTAAATAAATTATATGAGTAATAAGAACAATATAATGTAGCGCACGCAGAGTGTTGTGAATATAATATTGCACTTTAAGATTCATGTTGCAACTTACAACTAGAGGCAAATAAGAAAGACAAGCAATCCTAATCTCAATCCAAACAAGTTTATGTGACGTGAAGACAATTCCACCAAACTGGGTCAGAATGGAACTCCAGAAAGTGAGCATTTTGAATGGACGTTTTCAACTTGACCGTACGGTACGTTGAATAATAAATCTCACAAAAGAAGACTGATATATAATTTTTATGCATGCAAGACAAATATATATTTATTACACACCATGTTACCATGTGAAGTATTTGGCAAGATCCATAGCAGCCCTTCTGACTAATAAAGTTTAGAAAATCACGTTAGCAGCCCCGATGAGTAATAAAGTTTTACTAAGTCATTTTGGTATGTAGATTATGTATAATTTTTATCAGATAAAAAAAAAAAAAACACTTAGATGTTAGTCAATTATTTACTAATGGCAATTGACAATTATTTGTGGAAATGGGAAGACCAAGCTTGAGCCGCGTTTGGTCCTATTCCTACTTTGAATTTTTACAATGCCAAAGTCTTTGTGCTATTAAATGCTCATGCCAGGGACCTTATATAAACAACCACTCCTTCCAACTTTAACATTCATAACCCTAGAACAGATACTTCTTAAGCACGTCATAAGAATTTTGCAGAATTAGAATTTTGAGGAACCGAGACACTCATGGCAATTGGATTCATGGAGGTGCATCTTGTGAAAGCAAAAGGCCTGCATAACGCTGATATCTTTGGTATATATACAACAAGTGCTTTTCACTTATTTTGTTTTTTTTTTTAAAATAGTGTTTATTTTGCTTCTGTGTTCTTGAATCTTAACCTCCTCAACATGAAACATGCTATTAATAATGACCAAATAGTACTGTCTTATATTTAACTCCTTACTTAGATACCAATACTAACAAGGTTTGGGGTCATTAATTTATTAATTCTTTTACTTTGTTGATAGGTAAAATGGACCCCTATGTTCTGATACAATACAAAGGCCAAGAGCAGAGGAGTAGTGTCGCTATTGGTACGTTTTCGCTTATTCAATTCCATATTTAATTTACAAGAAATTAACCTAGCTATATAGAATAAACCTAGAGATATTTTAACAATGTTCATTCATATTAGGTTTGCAAATGATAACTTAAACAGCGTTTTCAATTGGAGAAATTTTCCAAACAAGACCTAAATCATTTGTTAAGTTATTAGTTTAGTCTCAAAATCGATCTAAATTAATTAAGACGGTTTGTGATGCTTATGATTTCTATATTTTTGTTGAATGTACTTGTGCAGGACAAGGTAAAAATCCAATATGGAACGAGAAATTTATCTTCAAAGTAGAATACCCTGGAGTAGTCAATCAACACAAGCTCATCCTAAAAATTATGGACAAAGATTTATATGCGGATGATTTTGTTGGACAAGCCATGTAAGACTTTAATGTTCAATTGCTTAAGTGGACCAATTTTCTTAAATTAAATTGTTTTTAAATATTATCATTTAATATCTCACTATATATATATATAATGTATTAAATGAGAATACTTTTTATTTGAAAAATGAGAACTAAAAATATATATAGGTAATTAAATCATATTTCTTTTATATATATGCAGAATCCATGTAAGGGATTTATTGGTCCAAGGAGTTGAAAATGGAGGAGCTAAGCTACAAACTCTCAAGTATAGAGTAGTTCGTGCAAACAAATCTTATCGAGGCGAAATTGATGTTGGTGTTACTTTCACCCCAAAGGTAATCTTCACATTCAAAAGACTCAGTAAAATGTAAATGTATGTCAGCGATGCAACATACTTATTATTTAAACAATTATAAAGAAAGCTAACTTTATGTGCATATACAAATTGCATATTCTAAACTAATTAATTATTAACTAAATCTTAAGGTCTATCAGCGTGTATATATATATATATATGGTAATGAAAATTTTGTTGTTTATTGTTTGATTGATTTTGATCTCTTGTAATGCATATGTTCAGGTAGAAGACGAATTTGTTGAAGATGACTTGGGAGGATGGAAAGAAAGTGAATATTATCTGCCATAGATTAGGAAGGCCAACGTATAAAATCAAAGTTTTAACCGAAAGAATAGTTTTAGAATTGTCACTATGAAACAGATTTGATTTGTTTCGATCCCATATTATTTCATTCTTTAATTCTTTTTAACAAGCACATGCAAGATAAATGTACTAAATTGTTGCTATCAAAACTAATTTGTATTATTCCTCTTATTTATAACATGAGACTATATATTCTGATTATCTCATATTCTACCAAATTCTGATTTCAATTACTTGATTATATCCGGTCAATTTTAAACTTTCAGAGTATTTAATAGGAGAGAAAATTTTTCATATCTGAAAATCATAGATTCTTAAAAATTAAAAATCCTGGAAATCATATGTTCTTAATAATTACAAATTATGGGAATCATGATTTTTGGAAATAACTAAAATTTGTTTAGTTATTCATAAAGGTTTTTGAAAATATTCATATACAATTATTAAGAATTAAAGATTTTTATGTTTGATTACAATAGTATACTAATGGGTACATAAATATTTTTTACAAAAAATATCCTTTCATTCAAATAAACTCATTAAATATGCTTATTAACACAAATATTTTTACAAATATGACATTAAACTATTTTTAAAAAACAAAACTTATAATTAAAATTATTTAAATAAATAATTCAACAAAAAGAAATAAACATAAAATGCTATATAATAAATAAGAAGTATAAAAATATATTCCTTCATTTCATTCAAATAAATAAATAAGTGTTAATAAATATCATTAAATTGTAGAAACAAAGTAGACTTTAATAGTATTATTAAAATTAAAAAGATTGAGAAATAATGAGATATAATAAAGAAAGAGAAAGAGAAATAGAGATATGGGAGGGAAGGAGGGAGAAAGGAAGGGAGGGGGAATGAGAGTGAGGGAGAGATGGAGAAAGAAAAATAGGGGAGAGAGAGGGAGTGAGAGTGAAAGAGACAAAGAGAGAGAAGGAGAAAGAGAAATAGGAGGGGGAGAGAGAGGGGGAGAGAGCCAGAGAGGGAGAGTGGAAAGTGAGAGATAGAGATATAGATAGAGAGAGAGGGAGAGGGAGAGAGAGAGAGTAAGAGAGTGGGGAGTGAGAGTGAGTCACAAAGAGAGATTTTTTATTTTTTAACAATGATATTGTGGTCTTTTATATACATAAAAAAATTTCCTTAACTCGAAAAAAAATTAAATTCTCATATTTTCTAGAAATGTTTTTATGAAAGTGAAATAAAAATAATTCTCGAGAATTATATTTCTAAAAATATTTTTTTTAAAATAACTACAAAATATGAGAAAGTAAAAATATTTCGTGTACGAAATTTATTATTTTACTAGTTTAATTATATTATTACTTCGAACCTTAACCTGACCAAATACATGTATATGTATTAATAAATTTTAATTAAAAATATTTTAATATAAATAGATTCAATAACACCTTAGGTATCCAACTGATGTACTCATTTTTGTACTTGAATATTTAGTTTTCTCTAAATGTGATTGTTGAGCACCACTGACGGATCTAGAAATTTTAGGTAGTGGGGGCAATACTTACTCATATATTTTTAGTATTAAAAATTTTACATATAACTTTTAAAAGTATAAATATATATCATAATTATTTTTACAATTTTTTATATCTATAATTATGATTAAGGATGGAAATAAATCGGGTAAGACTAGATTATATTATAATTTAATAGATTTGAACCTAACTTTCTTTCAAATTGCATGTCTTTAATATGACTTATTTATCTGTCATAGATATTTTTTAAATGTTTGGTTAGAACTACAACCTTAAAGACCTACTTTATAATAATTTAACACTAATAGAACCATAAAAATAAATATGTTAAATTTTATAATAAAAAAAAACAAGTTTAATTTATTTATGATATAAAATGTTTTTAATATTTGATATAATTTTTTAGATGATAATTTATTTTAAAATATATTCTATAATAAAAATTCAAAATAGAATATAAATCTTCCTACCTTTCCTATTTTGATTTTTTTAATCAACATATATAATCTTACAATCTTTATTATTTTGATCTTTTTAATCAACGTATACAATAAATAGAAAGTACAAAAGGTAAACATGCATAGTACAAATTTTATTTTATCAAAAAATAATTTTTTTAATATATTACTTTATATAAGTGAAAATTAATATATATATATATATATATAATTAAACTTTTTTTAAAAAACTAATTCATTATTAATGGGTATTCTTTATCACATATGAGAACTAATCTCCTTCAAAAATTTAAAAAATATTAAATAAATGAACACCTCCTTCAAATTTATATTTTATACATATGATAATATATATATATATATATATATATATTATTAGAATATAAATTTTATTTTTTAAAATATATTATTTTTTAAATAAAAAAAATATGTATAAAATGGTAGTGGGGGCAAGTGCCCCCACTATCTCCTATGTAGATCCGTCCCTGTTGAGCACCCTGTCTTTGTTTACCATAAACGTAACAAAATAAAACAGCAATCACAATGATGAACATGACAAATTGATAGACTATGGCCAAGGCCAAGGAATCCAAGAGGTGATATATTGAAAGAACCAAGAGGAATAGGATGATCTTAAAGACCTTTTTCATATATTTTGTAAATAGTCTCTTGTATAGGTTATTTTGCCTTTGTATTTGTGAGGCACTTTACTTGCTTTTTCCTAGTGTTTGTATATTGTTTTTAAGGTATGCTACTTGGAGAGTTTAGCTCCATTTAACCTCCCTAGTTGATACATTCATTTTATATTTTTTCAGTAGGGAAAAGGGGGTGACATTTAGCAATGCTTGAGGGTGTGCTTAGAAATTGGGCCTGAGTTGGGCCTAGGCAAAATTTTGCATATTGGACTCATTTTGCTCCTAATTTTTCATAGATTTGATTTAGCTAGGTCTCATCATCATATGATGAACCTAACTAAACCAAATCAAGGATTTTCAAATTAAATCATGGAGCATTTTTGGTTCAAGGCCGCCTAGCTCTATTCTTCTCCTTTGGCCGAAATTTCTAAGTAATCCTTCTTGAGTTTTGAAGCTTGTCTTGCAAGCTTCTAAACTCAAGTAAGGTAAGCTTACCTTACCATGGTTCTTAAGTGAACCATGGTCAAGGTTAGCTTCTCCTAGAAGCTAGCTAAACCATGGGAGTTAAGTCTACCTTACCATGGTTCCTAGTGAACCATGGTTAAGGTTAGCTTCTCCTAGAAGCTACATCTATCCTATATATTTGATTTTCCTACACTTGTACTCACTTTTGAACTTTTTAGAGAATGAAATCAGATTTTTCTCTTAATCAAGAGTCTCCAAAACCGTGAGAAATTTTCTCTCTAGGTTTCTAGCAAAGTTCTTCAAACTTTGCTTGGTTCCTCAAGCTCCTTCACAAGTTTAAGGAGTGGTCGAATCTCCTTCAAAGACTTCTCTTCCTTTGGAATTTCTTCAAAGGAGAATTCAGAGATCTAAAGGTGTCTACCTCAAGTGCATTTCGGTCCTAAGCATGGAGGAGTTGAAGTTCATCAATCTTCTTCAACTTAGCTCCATCACAAATTCTATTCAACCAATAATCAATGATTGCTTGTTAAAATCTAAGTTGATACACTCCATTAGTTTGACATTGAGGTCAGAAGATGTTGATGCATATAGGAAAATTAAATATAATCTTATTGTTTCCCTAATATCAAAGAAACTTGATAGTTATTATAAAAAAATGATATTTTTGTGAAAAGATATATTAAAAAACTATGGATCCTTTTCCTTTATATTGGTGCTAAACTTGTGTGAAATAAAAATCCTAACAGTCAATCACATATTAGTTTTTAACCCAACATTAATGTAGGGCTTGCCTACATAACCTAACATAAAAAATAAAAAAAGGCTTAAATATGTTTTTAGTCTCTTAAATTTAGGGTAAATCTATTTTTGGTCCCTTAAATTTAAAATTATTGTTTTTAGTCCCTGTAATTTCAAAAAATCTTATTTTAGTCCTTATATTCAAATTTTGTTAAGAAATTTATCAAATATTATTGCATAAAATTTACCTATTAGTATTTCTATTAGTGAAAATATCACATTAAATTTGATTGATATTGCATAACTGTCTTAATTAATCACTCTTAAATATGTTATTGGTGACTTAAGAGACTAAAACAAAATTTTTAAAATTTACAAGGACTAAAAAAAATAATTTTAAATTTGAGAGTCTAAAAAAATTTGTCTTAAATTTGAGAGACTAAAAATATATTTAAACCATAAAAAAAACAATTTTCTAAGACAAAATATGCAACAAACTGAACAAAGGAATGATAATTAAGAAACAATTTTCCAAGACAAAATATTATTATTAATACTATTTACATTTTTTCTTTTTCGTATGCCTCTAATTATAAAATAATTATAAAAATTTAAGAATAATATTTCTTAGAAGAGAATGAGAAATAAATGAATATTATTGGAAGATGGTATATTCTTTATCAAATGCTTACAAATGATTATTCGATTTCGAATGACGTGATTAAGAGAACATACATTCCCAATGTCAACTTAACTAGCATGCAAATAATATTTTTATAAAAAGAAAAGTAGTTTAACTGTATATGCGTAACGATTATCATATTTAAGTGGTACTACATAAACAACAAGCCGTCTTAGCTCAGTGGTAGAGCGCGTGGCTTTTAACCACGTGGTCGTGGGTTCGATCCCCACAGACGGCGCTTTTTTCATAATTATAAACATGGGCTTCACGTTTATTTTACTTTTAACGTTCATTCCTTCAACATGGGCTTCAAGATAAATGAAAAGAGTTCACGGCCCAAAACATGTCCATTCACCACATCCATTTTTTATTTTTACTCTATTCATTTAAGGGTCTTATGTTTTTCATCTCTAAATTTGTAAATATCAGCCACCCACTAATAACCAGTTATATAATATATATCACTACCTCCCCTCCTATGAGCCTCTTGAATCTGACCAACTCCCTATTGATACGATATTATATTATATATTGTATTATTTTAACATAAGAATTTGCAGGTTCGTGAACTTATTGTAGAACTGGCAATGGTCGAGATCATCAACCTTGAAGGAAAACTAGAAAAGTTGAGGAACTTAAAGGGATAACCCTCACCTTATGACTTGGGTTTATGTTCGGAGTGGCAAAAGTTTTGATACAAATCCCAAAATACACAACTAAAAAAGGGAAAGAATTATTGTTTGCGAAGTAAAAGTGCTTCTGAGCTCTTTCAGTTGAAATTTAAATGTACACTTATAAGAAATTATGAGATTATGTTTGGCTCACGCTTTTAGTTTTCACTAAAAAAGTGATTTCTTGTCATCTGACATCATTGTAAGAAACTTTAACAAAACTTCTAAGAACACATGACATCTTAGCATTTATTTTAAACTTTTATATAATAATAATAATAATAATAATAATAATAATAATAATAACAATAATAATAAGTCCATTTAGTGTGGATTTAATGATTTAAGGAAAGAGAAAAGTCATTAAAAAATTATATTATTTTTATAACATTTTTTAATTTATTTTTTAATTTATTTTTTTTATTTATCTTATTCTTTTGTCATATATTGTGTTAATTAATTGTAAAAATAATGGTAAGAATAAAATTTCTAAAATAAATAACTAATGCATTGGAAGATGTTTATATTTTGACTAGTGTGATGTGAAATTGAAATGGTCATCACTTGCATGGTAAAGACAGAAATTTTTTTATTTAGAGAAGATAAGGACAGACTTAATAAGCGTATACACCAAATAAAATAAATAAATAAATAAGTTTGACCTGTCTTCAATTCTATAGACAAACTAATCCTCTCCAGAAAAGGACTGGTCTTCAAAACTTCTTTTTTCCCTTCTAGACGATTTTAGTTTCAGGAATTAGAAGAAAAATAAAATAAAATAAAAAATAATTATCATCAATCTGTCGAATTAAATATGAATTATCACATCAATATTAGATAATTATACAATTGTCATAGATGCACGTACAATGTTTATATCTGTATCTGAATTCTAAGTAAAAAATAATAACTGATATGAGTAATTTTGAATTGGTAGCACTGAGTATTGTGAATATAACTGCACTTTAAGATTGGCGTTGCAACTGGAAGCAAATAAGAAAGACAACTAATCCTATAAATTGAATCCAAATAATTTAATGCGATTTGAAGATAATTCCATCAAACTTGGTCAGGAAATGGAACTCGATCCAGAAGTACTGAGCATTTTGAGTGGACGTTGTCAACTTGACCGTACAGTACGTTGAATAATAAATCTCACAAAAGAAGATTAATTAATATATAATTTTTACGCATGCAAGAAAAAAATGTTACTAATTGGCAAGGTACGTAGCAGCCCTTCTTACCCCAAAATTAAAAAAAGCAAAGTAGCAGCCCTGATGAGTAATAAAGTTTTGTTATGTAAATTATGTATAATTTTATTAGAAAAGAGCACTTAGATGTTAGTTAATAATATTTACCAATGGCAATTGACAATTATTTGTGGAAATGGGAAGACCAAGCTTGAGATGCGTGTGGTCCTATTCCAACTTTGAATTTTTACATTTGCCAAAGTCTTTTTCCTATTAGTATGAAGCTGAAGACCCTATATATATAAACAACCCCTCCTTCCAACTTTACATTCATAACCCTAAAACAGAATATATCGATACTTCTTAAGCACGTTGTAAGAATTTTGCTGAGTTAGAATTTTGAGGGACAGAGACACACATGGCTATTGGATTCATGGAGGTGCATCTTGTGAAAGCAAAAGGCCTGTATAACGCTGATATTTTTGGTATGTAACAAGTTCTTTGCCTTATATATATTGTTTTAAAAAATAGTTTTAATTATTTGCTGCTATGTGTTCTTAATTATTAATCTTAACCTCCTCCGTGAACCCTTATCCAAATATGATATTAATAATATGTCCAAATTAATGGTATTTACTCTTATTTAACTCCATATATACTTACCAATTCTAACAAGGTTTGGGGTCATATATTTTTGTTTTCTTTGTTGATAGGAAAAATGGATCCCTACGTTTTGATACAATACGGAGGCCAAGAGCAGAAGAGTAGTGTCGCTATTGGTACGTTATGGCGTAATATCAAGTCCATATTAAATGGCCCTTAAAAGTTAAAACAAGTTATATATCTATTATTTTGCTTTATTTTACAAGAAACTTTGGCTATAAATGAATTAATCTAGAGACACTTGAAAAATGTGCATGACATATCAGTTGTGCAAATGATTGCTTAAACTGCGTTTTCGTGAGTGTTAAAATGACTTGAGTTAATTTAGCTAGGCTTACCAAATATACTTGACCAAATTAAAAGGTACGTACCCTGTGACAGCAACTAACCTACAATATAGGCAGTAATAATGCCAAATAATATGTTGACAAGAACCAATACGGAGTTTCTTGCAAATTTTTGCTCTTGCATGGAGAAATTGCAACCTACACTTGTTCTTCAAGAATCTTATTTGTGATACGTAAAAAAGACAATAACAGGGTATGATGATTTGGGTTTACCAAAATTAGACCAAATTTGTTTTAAATCAAGTTTTTTTTTTCAAAATTAATTTAATTTTTATCAAGTTAGTTTTCAAACCGTGATTTATAAACAAAATCAAATTTAGCTCAAAATTGATTTTAAACTATTTTTTAACTCAAAACCAATATTTAAATTAGTTTAACACTAGTTTTAGAACCGTACTTTTAAAAAAGAAATTAAACTAGTTTTTAAAAATTGTTTTGGTATAAAACCATCTTAAAAAAATATATTAATTTAATTTAAATTTTAATATACATTATTTAGATCTTTTAAGAATGATTTGATGTAGTTCAATTAGCTTTTTTTCCCCCATAGATAGCCCTAAATAATAATGATAGTAAATTTCTTATTATTAAAAAGAATCAGGAGATGCATAAAAATGTTATTAGAGAAGTTTTGTAATGCTTATAGTTTTAAATATTTTTGTTAAACACAATTTTAATGATGCTTGTGCAGGTCAGGGAAAAAATCCGGTATGGAATGAGAAATTTATGTTCAAAGTAGAATACCCTAGATCAAGTGATCAACACAAACTCATCCTCAAAATTATGGACAACGACTTATATACGAATGAGTTCGTTGGACAAGCCATGTAAGACTTCAATGGTTTCATTTTTGTTAGTGTCATAAGATGATTAGAGTTATGCTCTTGTGGGCTAATTTATTAATTTGTTATTAATTATCATCTGATTAATTTACTAGTTAACTTATTACTAATTTGATTAAGTAATGAACTTATTTTACACCTATACAAAAAACAAAAAAAAATCCTAGAAAAAAGATCAAATTTTCATAATATTTTGCACCACCATTGTGAATAGCAAGATTAAAGATGTTCATTACTTGAATTGAAATTATCATTTGTGTAAGGATGGGAAAATGAATTATAATCCCAAACCCAAGAAACATAAAATAATTCATTAATAGCAATTATCATCTATGCAGAATTCATGTAGGGGATTTATTGGCCCAAGGTGTAGAAAATGGTGAAGCTAAGCTACAAACTCTTAAGTATAGAGTTGTTCGTGCAAACAACTCATATTGTGGCGAAATTGATGTTGGTGTTAGTTTTGCTAAAAAGGTATTTTTCACATTTAATTCATGATTTTTTAAAGTGTACATATTTTTCACCAATGTAACATATTTATTAGTTATGATTCAAACAATCGTTAAGGTATGTCAGCATATATGGTAATGGAATTTGTGTTTCCTGTTTGGTGTTGATTTTGGTCTTTTATGAAATTTGTGCAGGTGGAAGATGAATTTGGTGAAGAAGGCACAAGAGGATGGAAAGAAAGTGACAAATATTTGTCACAAATTAGCAAGGCTAAGATATGAAAACAAAGTGCAAATTGGAACTAATTTTAGATTAATTATTTGTTGTATTGTGTAATAGGTTAAGTCATTTTCAATCGCATATTATTTCATTTTTTAATTCTTTTTAGCAAGCACCAGCGAGATACGTTTCATAAATTATTGTGCTATCAAATTAGTTTGTATTATTCTTCTAATTTATACTAGCTAGTTTATATTATTTTCATTATTCCAAATTCCGATTCTCAATTCACCGTTTGACTCGATGATTTGCCATGAATTTTAACTTATTTTTTATTTATTTGCAAAGTAAAATATAAATTTATTAACGAACTAATCATCATGGTTAATCTAATTTTGAATAGGATAGCGTTGGTAAATTAGATTAAATAGATTTTGAGGGAGAAAAATCATGATTATCATTTGACTTTCTTTTTTCACCATTCAATCAATTTAATTTTAAAATCTAATCAAATTCATTTAATTTTAGTTTGAATTGGATCTTCAAAAGAATTTATAAATATTAAAATAAATTATAATTATACATAAATTAATTTAAAGATAAATTAAATGTCACATATCCTTTAACTTTTAACTGACGTCCTATTTTTTTTTATGTGACAAACACCCTTAGTTAATAACATTATTTTTATACTCTATAATGAGAATTAAATCATGAGTTTTTATTAAAATAAATAAATAAATACCTCCCAATGGATAAGAAAAATATGAGATGCATACATGATTACCTCTTAATTGATCAGATATTCAAGTCAAACTCACCTTTGGCTTTGGATTTCGTGATGCTTTACTCACACAAGCTACATATGCCAAGTTACTTGTTTCATTGTTCAGACCAGGAAACATTGTTGCATAATGTTTCTGAGTTTTAAAATGGACTACTGCATGATGTTGTTGCATATAATGATAATTGACTATTATGTGGCCTATATTAATTACCAACACACTCATCTACTTATGTGTGATTGCACCTCTTATTTTATTGGATGGTATCTGGGACACCTTTACTACCCCAACATATACATCACACCTCAAAAGATCTATGCTCTTTGTTTGAGCACGTCAGAAGATCGATGCTGGTTTTAGTACTTTAGAAGATCTATGCTTGTTTCAGCACATCAGAAGATCTATGCTAATTATACAATCAAATTCATGCATGTAAGAATTAATGTGACCATGTCAAGATCGTCCATGTAGAACTTTGGCAAAACTGCCCTAGCCACTGACTCAATCTCCGACTTGGGAACCCCAGCCACAGCCACGAAGATCATTAGCTTGAGCCCCGCGTCACTCAGGCCAACCATGTCCAGAAACCGAATCACGGGCCATAGTAATAGCAACAAGGCAAAGCGAACCAAACCCGAAGCCTCAAACGCCACCAACATGAAGTAGGAGAACGCATCCGAGTCCTTCACAAGCGTGCCTTCTAACTCAGACACCACAGACTCCATAATATTTAGTATCTTTTGATGTTTTGGTCTATTTTTCTTTGGCTTGTGTTTTTTTGAGTTTCTAATGTTTCACGTACCCTTGGTGCGCTTATAAGATGATTAGGTTTTATGGTTATGACTTACGAGGCTAAGGAATTGGGCTTAATTTATTTGACTGGACTCTAACATGAGGCAGTTTAGCGGTTTGCAACTACTTTTTCTCCACTTGGCTTTCTCTCTCTGTTTTTTTGGTGGATATGTCCGTGAAGAATATAGTATATATAGAGGATTAGAAGCCACGTTTTTATTGGCAAAGATTGATCACTTAACCCCAACAAATTAAAAAGTACTTATGGTAACGTAGCCGGCTAGTTTTTGTCTTTGGACACCTAATTAAAAATGGCCCGTCTTTTACGAGTATTTTTAGGTTACTTACCATTAAATTAAGTGAAGCATGCATGCGTATCTTTTTGAACAATATTCTTGTTTGATTAGAAAAATCAATTATCTCGTCGTACTGTGTGGTGTGTATATATACGACTGTTGACCATTTGTCTAGAGTAAGAGATGAATTTGATGTACCCATACACATCACGTACTGAAGCGTGTATGTAATCTAAAATTTACAAATTATCTGTAATATGGGGTAACCGGATATGATTCACCGATAAAAGCAGTAACGATGTGTATGTAATCTTGACGTATTTGAAGCATGTATGTGACGTAAAATCTTGTACAACACAACTTGAAGCTTTTACAAAAACTACTTTTAAGTTTTAATCCATTCACTACTATAAAAGTGTCATTTTCTTGCAAATTTTTCAATAAAAAAATATTCGCAAAATTTTTTTGCAAATTTTCCTGCAAAAAAATATTCGCAGAAATTTTTTGCGAATTTATTTGCAAAAAATTATTTACAGATATTTCTTACAAATTTTGCTACAATGTTAATGATCATAGAAAATTTTTTCCATGGTGTTTGTGGAGGATTTCGTTAGTAGGTTCTTTTTATTCGAATTAGCACAATTTCACGTTTCAATTTATGTGTGTTCGTGACATGACAGAATCGAAGACTTTCAGTGAAAAAAAAATCGTACAAGCAACAAATAGAGTTAAATTAGGTTGTTGTTTCAGCACCTCAAAAGATCTATGCTCTTTGTTTGAGCACGTCAGAAGATCGATGCTGGTTTTAGTACTTTAGAAGATCTATGCTTGTTTCAGCACATCAGAAGATCTATGCTAATTATACAATCAAATTCATGCATGTAAGAATTAATGTGAATCGAACAGATGACATGTATATTGACTGCAGAAATCATATCCTTCATTAAATGGTAACAGAATTACAATTCGTAAGGATAACGAAACGTGTTCAGAATGACTACACTACACTAGGCTAGATTATGCTATGCTACGCTACTCCTAAAAAAGGAAAAATAAAGGTGGTCAAGAAATCGTACCCAAAGCTGTCTCGTGTGCACAGTATGCCTTATGTGCAGGCTGCGGAGTGCGTGTGAGGTATTGTGAGAATTAGATTTCTGACCCTTTGCTACGAGCATGGCTCGTTTAATTTATAGACAAAGATCTGGGAAAGATAACTATTCCAAAATCGGAACGGCCCGTTCTGGACCCTTCAAACCTATGTAAATTTCTCAACTGAAACGGCCCGTTCCAAAACCAGAACAGCCCATTCCAAACCAGAATGGCCCGTTCTCCAAACCGGAACGGCCCGTTCTCCTTCCGGAACAGCCTGTTCCAAGGCTGTTCTGTAACAATAAAACAAATTATGTTTCCTCTTTCAGAACGGCTCGTTCCGACACCCAGAAATATCCTTATTCCTTTATTAAAATTACGAAAATGTCATTAACAATAGTAATAAAAAAAAACTGGGTGTTACAGTATCAGTGTTCTTAGTTTTTCACAATTAATTACACTCTTCATAGCCCAGCTGTGACAGATGTAGAAAAAATTATCATGTTATTAAGGAAAAAAATGTAGAAAAAAAAGAAAAGAAACTGAGTTGCATCACCCCAATTATAGAAATCATGTATTTAAAAAATATTCTAAGCAATAACCTGAATCATAAAACTAAGATACAAATACCAAAACCATTCCACGAAGAACAAAAGCAAAGAAGAAGGGCGAGTGGTTTTGGATTGATTGAATTTTGGTAATTATTAATTTCAGGAATTAAATAAATGTGACAGCCGTCTTAGCTCAGCGGTAGAGCGCGTGGCTTTTAACCACGTGGTCGTGGGTTCGATCCCCACAGACGGCGTATTAGTATATATTTTTAACTACTAACCAGATTTTGGTAAAGCGTGTTCATTCTTTGATGGGCTTCACGTTACGACTACTTTATTCATGGGCTTCACATCACCACCGAACTCAACTTAAATGAACATTCCACCTCCAACAAATTCAAAGAAGTTCATGAGATGGCCATGCAACTCCAACCCATAACATATTCCCCACCGCACAGTCTCATTATATATAATTCACCACTTCCATTTTTATTTTTACTCTATAGTCTATTCATTTAAGGGTCTTCCATTCATGTTCTTCCCTCTAATTTTGTAGCTTTAATGTCACCCACTAACAACCAGTTATATTAATATATCACTACCTCCCCTCCTGTACGTTTACATTTGAGCCTCTTGATGTGACCAACTTCCTCACACCAAAAATATATAATACGTCACCTAAAAGTCAAAGGGGTCCTTTTTGATTCACATAAACAATGAAATTTGAAGACTATCTCATGGAGAAAAGCCAAGAGCCTCCTCAGAATAGACAAGACCTTGAGAAAGAGGTGAGCTTTTGGATCATTGTTTCTCCAAAACCCAATGATCATATCGTTTTTCATTTGTTTTCTGGTTAATGATTTCCTTTATTTATTATATTCTCATAGGTTGTCAAATTGCAAGCGCAGTTGAAGTGTGAAGAGGCACTAAACAGGGTCTTAAGTTGTGCACTTCATGGACCTGCTGGCTCTCTTCCACTCATTCCACCACTGTTTCCACCTCAGGTATAGTATTAGCAAATCCATAAAGTGGACAAATATTTCATCTACCCTTCTGATATGATATGATACATTAAATTATTTTGACACGAGATTTCAGGTTCATAAGCTTCTTGAAGAATTGGCAATGGTTGAGGAAGAGATCATCAAGCTTGAAAGAAAAGTTAAGGAACTAAAACTTAGATTGTTCCAGGAGAGATACCAGAATCCAGATTGGGAGATACACCATAGAAGACAACCTAAACGATATAACCATTTCCGAGGATCATCAAGGTATGGTTCAATGATTACTGAGCAGAGGTCAAGTTCACTCAATTATGAAGTACTTGGTAAAGGAAGAAAGACAAGTTATAGAAGGGCCTCTCTAGGTTCTGCATTGGATTTCCATAGCCTATTTTCCACGCCAAGAAAGTCAAACGGTAAACACAAGACACTTCTAATGGTTCATTTTGTTTCATAAAACATTATTTATATTTGTTTTTTTTTCTTTTGTTAGAAATCTCTCGTTATCTAGTGATAATAGTACATATAAGTGAGGAGAGAGAGACAATCTTCAGTCATAAGCTAACTTTTGCGATTGAATTAGATTTGAGTCTAATGCGTATGTAAGTATTAACTATAATTTAGTTGTAGTCTATTGTTAAGATATGTAAATGTCTCATTAAATAAGTTATATTTTATTGAATGATATCTATTTCTCAGATTACTCTGGTAATTCTAGAGCTAACTTTTTGCAGTTAAGTTACGTCCAAATCCAAATTGTAGATCTTTCGCAAGTAATTTTAAAAATGCACTTTTATTCCTATTTAATCCTTAATCTTGTCTTTAAACAAACAAAATCACATTTGGAATTTTGGTATTTGTTCTATGCTTAATTTTCTCACAAAGTGGTTTGGATATGTGTTGAACAGAATATGAAGTGCCAAGAAGGAGCAGTGGAAAGATAGCAAGAGAATACCCCATGCTTGTAGAAAATGCCTTTGAGAAACCAAATGAGTTGTCAGAGGAACTGCTGAAGTGTCTGATAGGCATTTTTCTGGAACTGAACAGGACATCATTGGACAGAGAAGAATCTGAAACTGTCCCGAGACTCACTCTTCCATGCATGAAGTCCACTGGCATGATGGCAAAAACCTCATTCAATTGCAAGGCATCTTCAAATAGCAATGCTTCCTGTCTTGATCCTTATGGCATATCATCAGACTTAGATTTCACATCAAGAGATGTAGGACCCTACAAAGACTTCATTCAAATCACTAGGAGCTCATTGGACATAGACCGTTTTTCACACTGCCTCCCAGCATTCAGAAAACTGAGGTTGATTTTTACCTTTAAATCTTTAATTATTAGAGGCTCAGAGCCTTGGGAGTAAACTTCTCCATAAGTATTTCTATGAGAAAAAAATTGGAAGAAAAATGGAAATAAACTTTTCCATAAGTTAAAAACTAACTCATGCATAAATGAGTTTTAAATTATGTATGAACTAAAATTTTTTACAGAAATTAAGAAAACTTCTACAAATTAACTTATTCATGAGTTAATTTCATATTCTGAAAAAACTTATTTCATTTTCTCTAGTTATTTTTTTTCTCTTACGAGTGCTTATAAGCTTTTTCCAATAGAAGAAGTTTTATTCCTAGAAAAATCTTTGAAAATAGGAAATAGAATGCAAATCACAAACCAAAAAAGTACATAGTTTACCAATAACTATTTAAACACTGTCTACATCTTATGGAGATATACTATTTTTTGCCCATTTCTTCTTATTTTCTATTTCCTTTTATAGGGTGTTGATGCATAAGCTATGTGATGTGGATTTAAGTTTCTTGACCTACAAGCAGAAGTTGGCATTCTGGATCAACATCTACAATGCCTGCATAATGAATGTACAGTAAGGCATTTCATTTCAAGCCTTCATTATTCAATAATATCAACCTGCTTAACATCTCTGCATGGTAAATCTTAGAAACCTTTCTGTTTCGATATAATTGCAGGCTTTTTTAGATCATGGCCTTCCTTCTACTCAGGATAAACTGTTGACACTTATGAATAAGGTATGATGTAGTTAGAAGTCTATAGTATGCTATTTGTGGAAGTCGTGAAGCATGGAAAGTTACTTTTTCTGAGTGATTGTGGTGATATTAAATTATTAATTATGTAGTTACGTATTGAAACAGGCTGCAATGAATGTAGGCGGGATAGTACTGAATGCTCTGGCTATCGAACACTTTATTCTTCGGCACCCATGTGAATCAAAACATGTAAGAGATAAATATAGTTAGAGTTTAATGGCGACCGTACAAAATATTTTGACCCTATCAGTTAATTACAATTTATCGTTAGTATAACTTTTTAGTCATTTATTTTACGGTCAACAAGCTTATTATACATAGTGATTTGTGATAGATGATAATGTAAAACTATTGTTACTACATAACATTTTTTCATTTAATTGTCTCTTAATAACTTCTCTCAACTGCCTTCACCAGCCTTTTTAATCCTTTTTTCTTTACCAAGGGAGGAATCTGAGTTATCTTAAAAGTACATTTAACCTTTATTACATTATGAAATGAGCTTTACATGCAATGGATTTTAAATTTATTAAATTAAACAATTCGTAAAAACTCAGAACATTCAAGCAAATTTGAAATGATAATTAATTTTGATCTGTTGTTTCTTTACCTTCCCCAAATGACAAAAATATGAGAACCGTTCATTGTTTTGACAAGGGAACTGCTTCTATGCAATTCTAGTGTTTATTTTTCCCAATTTGTTAGTAACTAATCTCGGTGGTTGATGAAAATCAATCGTTGATATTACGTGTACACCTATAACAAATTAAAGATGTGTTAAATCTAGTTGATTTTTTTTTATTCTTAGTCACTTTAGAAGAGTTAAATCTTTACTCGTGACATGTGTTGATGTTCTTTAACATCCAACTAACTATATCTTTCACAAAAGGATCCTGTGGAAGAAAAGGAAGTGCTATTACGGCATGCTTATGGTTTGGGGTATCCAGAACCCAATGTCACCTTTGCTCTTTGTAGAGGCACTTGGTCCTCACCAGCAGTAAGTGTATTTGACCAACTGTAATGAAATAAATTGATGAAGATTTGTATTTGGTGAATATAATATATGATATGATGTTTGTTGCAGTTAAGAGTGTACACTTCTGAGGAAGTTGTGAACCAATTGGGAAGGGCTAAAGTGGAGTACTTGGAAGCTTCAGTAGGTATCACAAACAAGAGGAAGATAATTGTGCCTAAACTTTTGCAGTGGCATATGCATGATTTTGCAGATGAAATGGAATCATTATTAGAATGGATTTATAGCCAATTGCCACGTTCAGGTTCATTGAAAAGGGCAACAATGGAGTGTCTCATTAGAGAAACAAAATATCCCATGTCTAAAATGGTGGAAATTCAGCCATATGAATCAGAATTCCGCTACCTCCTTCCTGTATAAATTAAAAAGTAAAACGAAACACCTTGACTTTTTTTTAACATTTTTTCAATCATTGGTAAATATAAGTTTCATCAAATAGCTCTATTTAAGTTTCATTAATAAATTTATGAACATTGCTATTTAGTATAAAAATTTTGATTGAATCCTAACGGGTTGAAAATTAATTAACCAAAAAGATTTCATAAAGTACCTCTTTAATTAAATGGGACTCTTTCTTAGGAAATAATATTTTTATTTCCCAGTAAACTTTTGTCATTGCTGCATTGAAGATGGATTTGGATAGTTATCAAGTACTAATGAATCATGCAGAGTAGTGAGGGTACTCTTTTGATGTTCCCTAAATCTTATGTTTTGATTTTCTGTAATTTGAATGTTGGTGATTGTGAAGCGTGTCCTGGCGGCTGATGTTTGGGTTTCATTGATGGTTGTCATGGATGATTGGGTCATGATATTGATTGTTGTGGTGTGGTTGTGAATAATAATAACATTTAATACAAAAGTGTGACACAATGAAGAGCAATCTAGTTTTTGGTGCTACAATTTTCTTAATCAAAAGTAATGGATCGACGATGGGTTAAGGGTGACACTATGGGCTCTCTGTGGTCAAATGAAATAAAGTATTTCATTTCAATCCAACATTTTCCACTAATTATGTTGAGTGATATGAATAATTGTGTGGGTCGATTTTCATTGTAAGAATTTGTATAAGCTTAAGAGTATTTAAGTGTTTGAAAGTATTGAGCGTGCAGAGACAGAAATGGAGAGTATATGAAGGATGATGCATTTTTAATAATGTGACACTCAAACATTCATCATTAATAGAAGTTTGTCAATTACATCAACATTTGTGTAATAAATATTAACGACCCAAAAATGCTAATATCTTAAAAATTTAGGGTTTAAAAGCAAAATAATTATAATTATATAGACAAAAAAAAAAATGTAAGCTCTTTATTTTGTACAGTTTAAGCACTTTTTTTTTCGGATAATTTATTTTGTTCGATAGAAAGAATAAATTGAGTCAAAACTTGAAGTATTAGGATTTGATGTCTTCATTTTGTCTACTTTCATTTATTTGTTGGTATATTTGCAAACAGAATCTAAAAACAAAAAGTTAAGAGTCTAACAGTACAGTATAAAATATATTTTTATAATAATCATTTTAAAAGTCATATTATAAAAGTTATATATTGTCTCAATAATATTTTAATTTTTAACTGTTTAATCTAATAATTTCTATTATTACTTATAGTCTCAATAATATTTTAATTTTTAACTGTTTAATCTAATAATTTCTATTATTACTTATAGTCTCAATAATATTTTAATTTTTAACTGTTTAATCTAATAACATAATTAAAAAGGTAAAATAATGTGACATTTGATAATGTGTCACTTTAGACGATTCAATAGTTGATGATAATTCATTTTTAATAATGTAACTCGGTAACATTATTAATAGAAATTTATTGGTTACATCAACATTTTTATAACAAATATTAATGACAAGAATCAAAAAATAATAATGTCTAGAAAATTTAAAGTTAAAAAGTTAAATGGTTATAATTATATTGACTAAAAAGAAATATTAAAGTCTTTCAATTTTTTACGGTTTAAGCACTTCATTTTTTATAGTTAAATTATTTTGTTCAATATAAAGAATAAATTGGATCCAGACTTGAAGTATTGAGAGTCGGTGTCTTCATCTTGTCTACTTTCATTTAATTAATGGTATATTTTCAAATAGAATTTAAAAATATGGTCAAAACCTTTTTAATTTGGTGGTAGAGTGTTTGGCTTTTAATCACGCAATTTCTATAAATAGTGTTATTTTAATCTTTCTGTAAGATTTAAACATATTTTTTCCTTAAAAATATTACCTTTTATTTTAAATCATAATAAATTATTTTTTGTTATTATTTGTTTTTCCAATAAAACCTTCTTAGTTTAGTGGTAGAGTGTTTGACTTTTAATGATATGATCGTGAGTTTGATTTCCATAAATAATATTATTTTAATATATTTTTTAAGGTTTAAACATCTTTTTATCATTAAAAAATATGACTTCTTTTTTATTTAAATTATTATAAAAATATTATTCTTATTGTCCTACCTAATAACATTTTATTTTCTTTTGATGATATGATATGTGACACTTTTGATATATAACAATTGATGATATCATATTTTTATAATGTGACACTTAATAACATTATCATTAATAAATGTTTGACAACTCCATTAAGCATTGATATTTTTATCCCTAAAAAGATCACTATTTTGTTTTATATTATTAAAAATTATTTTTATGTTATTAATTATTATTCTAATAAATCTTTTTTAGTTAAGTGGTAATCACATGATTGTGAGTTTGATACATACAAATGGTGTTATTCTAATATATATTTCATTTTAATATTTATTTAAGGCTTAAACATCTTATTTTTTCTTAAAAATACACTTTCTTTGTTTCAAATCTATAAATTAGTTTTTGTTATTGCTTATTTGTTATTAGTTTTTGATGGTATTGAATTTTAATAATGTGACACTCAATAGCATCATCATTAATAAAAGTTTATCAACTTCATTAATATTTATGTAACTAAACTTGATCATGAGTGCATGTTAAGAAAATTAAAATATTCCTTATGAAAAAAACAAGTAGTTAACAAATTCTATAAGAATTTGCTAACATAACTAACTTGAATTTTCTTTTTTTTATGTATATGATCCATACAATATCTCAAAATATGTAATCAAATATTAATTTGCACTTGTAGAACATAATTTCTGTTAGTCAAGCATTATTTTAATACAAACAAAAATCAAATTTAGAACACCAAATCGACACCTCGTGTCCTAAGACAAGCCTACTAACTTGAACCCATTTGTATTTTAGAAAAAATATTTTAAATTGAATTTTCTTAAAATACACTCAAAAGTATAACTACATAAAAATACTCCATCTATAAAATATATAAGTCATATTTAATGAGAAAGTTATTTTTATATTAGAATGAGACAAATAATTATTAATTATTAGATTTTAATATAAATTATAAAGATTAAAATCTTATAGTCATATGTATGCAAATAGTCGAAATTAACTCACAAGTCAAGTTGCATGGATTTTTTTAGCCCTTTTCGGGCCAAGTAGAACCACTTATTATAAAATTAATATTTTAGTATGTCTAATACATAGACTAAATATTTATTATATATAATTAAAATTTATAATAAATCATATATTTATATAAATAAATTATATTTTTAAATTTATGATAAATAATTTATATTGTGACATAATTATTTTAATCGTTGATAATTTATTTTAAAGATAATAAAATTTAATTTATAAATAAATATGAAATAAAAATTGGATAAAAAGATAAAAGAATTATTAAGAACTCTCTTATCGAAGGAAAAATACCTAACAAATACTCTTGTTAAAAATAAATTCTTAAAAATACTCTCATACATATTATAATTTTTTATTATTAAAATTGGTAAAGATGAGAAAACGGAAATATCATAATAAACATTCTCAAATTAAATATTACTGTTCACTTAATTAGTAATTCAAAATTTAGTAATAGTTTATATTTAATATCCAAAATTTAGTAATGGTTTCTATTTAATATATAGAAATAGATTTAAAGTAGTAATTGCTGATCAAGAGATGTGTAAAAGAATATATACCGGAAACATCAGACAGGAAACAATGTGATTTTCTCTTTTTAATTTTCCGGTTCTTGACTTGTTCTTTTTACAAAAAATAAAAATGCTAGGAAGCTTAGCCACTCATGCGTTCTCTAGCATTACCCTTTTAAAATTAAATTGAACAAGTATTTATTACCATCACAAAATTTCTTCTTTTAAAAGTACATGCCAATTAGTTATATATTTCGTCCGATTTTTATTCATAGTCGTTTTGATATTATTTTTCTGTTCTTTTTTATTGTTATTTTTTTAAAATTAATGACTTATTAATTTTGCTTTTTCATTTTTACTCTTGATAATTAATACATTTTTACTGAACAATATATTTATTCATTTTTAATATACATATTTCTTCTCCAACTACCTTAAAAGTATAACAGAAAAATAAGTAATAAATATTTTAAAAAATTAAAATATCAATCATTTTTTAATTTTTGTGCATAAATCTTAAACGTCAAATTAAAAAAAAACAGAGAGTAAATAAATAGTTTGATAGTGTTAAACCATATTATCTATAACATATAATAAAGAAAATTATCCCGATGTATACATTTTTTACATAATTTTATTTTTAAAATTTAAAATAATATTAAAAATTAATCATTCTTATAAAAATAAGACTCAAACTCGTAATCTTTAAATTTAAAACTAAATGTAATATCAATAGATCTATCAAATATTGATTTTTTTAAATATCTTTATTAAATAAAATATTAAAGTACAAAATTCCTACATCTCACAAATTACTGTTAAGGAATTGTCACTGTAGCGGGTAATGAGTAGAAGCCCATTAAATATAGCTAGCTAATAAATAAAATCAGACCTTACTAATACCTGTGAAAGAAGGGGGATACCCAACCCAAATAATATCCTTCATCATCTATTTAAATTTTGCAACGCAATAAAAAATATATATAGGCTCCTTACACAATTAGTCATACAATAACCATTAGTTTTATTTTCTTACAATCAGAAAATTTGCCTCCCGCAAAATCTATATGATGGAATTTAATATAGCGTGTCAGTGGAGTTCCTTTCCACGAGAAAGGAGAAACAAGAAACAAGAAACGCTAACAAAACACAAACAATATTAATGGATAAATTTATTGCGTGTAAATTCATTCAATAATATTGAGTAATTAGAATTGCGGAGACATAACGTCAATGGAAAATTAGAGATTAAACATAAAAGGGATTATAGTCACTCGTCCCGGCAGCCCACCCGTTTTTTACTCTTTCCGAACAATATATAAAAAAGAAAATTCGGAATTACATACCTCACAAAAAGCTATTAAAAAAATCCAATAAATTTTCCGTCAAATCTTATAACTGGGTAACAGACGGCTCAACTAAGAAATTGACAACCCTATTCAACAAATTTAAGCCAAATACGGTCTCTTCACAGTTAACTTTTACAGAAACAATTAATGGGTCGGAGCATTTACCTTCAACAGTAACTGTAATTAAGCATGGCATGGAATTGCTCAAGATCTCACTGCTGAAACGCAAACATAAACCAGATGCATCATCAAGGTTGGCAGCAACCGGCATATCCACAGATACAAGAGAAAGATTTGCATTGCTCAGCATCTTTAGTGCTATCGTTTCACAAATCACGAGGAATTTGTCCTCTGTCAAAGAGTTGCTGCCCTTGTTCAGCTCTAGAATGTGATCAGTAAAGGTGCAACTGTATGCAAATTATGCAATAAAATCCAATTTAGAAAATCCTTAGATGGAAAAAAAAAAAAAAAAAAAAAAAAAAAAAAAAAAAAAACCTTATCCCAAGAATGAAACAGGAAAAAAAATAAAATAAAAGGGAAAAAGAGTCCGGAAGGTGCAGGGAACATAAAAAGTAAGCTCATAATAAACAGATAATTACTGTCAGTTAATGCACACAATAGATTCTGTTTCTATCATCATTCAAATTAACAAGGCAATTCCAATTCCAATCTCTTCAGTTGCTATTCAAATCACGATGCAGCATTACTTTATCTGACAAGAATTACCTGAGCCAGATAGTTAATATTCTGAAGCTAGCAAACACTTGCAAAAGTGTGTTTATTATAGATCCTAATCCTAACAACATTTTTAACAAAGTCAAAAATTAGCTGGGCAGGAAGCTAAGATAGGCTATCTGCATAGCCATATAGGTAAACTATAAGGGTTTGTTTGGTTTGTGGAACTGTTTTATATTTTCATTAATAATTACAAAAAGGTCACACTGTTTTCATTTTATTCTTCGTTTTTAAAGACTTGTACAAAGAAACAAGAAAACATACTTGTAAATCATAATAATTGATGAAAACAGAAAATATCTCCATTAACCAAACAGGCCCCAAATTATTGTAGATTCTAACACAATTAAAACTAATTGACATGTGGTATATACTGCTTTAACTTTCTCTTTGAACTTTGAAGTATAACCGATAATGGATTCAGAGAAACATAAAACCACATTTCAGATATGCTTTCCCAAGGATGCCTAAAGGATATATAGAAATAAAATAAAGAACTTGAATAAGTAATATCCATACCGTTCAAAATTTAAGCCAGGTTTATTTTTGACGTCCAAATACAGCCACAATACTGAATAAACGGTTAAAAGACCAAAATAATTTAAATTTAAAGTCACTCAATTGCCCCCATATACTTATAAGTTATAAGAAACTTCCTATTCTTTGAAGTTCAAATTTTAATTTTAAATTAAAGACTCCACCTTTTTTCTCCCTGACACACTCTCATCTTGCATATGGATGGCATTTCATAAGAATTTGACCTATGCCTGATCCTCTATCGTAGTATTTTAGGGTCTATTTTGGTTCTAAGGAGGGAAGTGAAAGAGTTAGAAATTTTGTTTGGCTGAAAAGAGAAAAGGTAACTCTTTTTTTGTTTAGTTCACAAGAGGAGGGAAGGGATTTTAAAAATCAATTTACTTTTGTATCTTTGTAATTTTAAATTTAATGACATAATTAAGGATATTTTGAACATTATAATAAAAATATTTTAAAATCGCTCTCCACCCCTCGAAATCCCCCCAATATTGGAGGGGGACAATAAAATTGGATGAGGAGGGGTTTTGCTCCCCTCCCCTCCCTCCAACCAAACACTATGTTAAGTTTTCAACATAATAAGTGTGGAGAAGGAGAACTATCGAGAATGATAGCATGAAGAACCATAAGTTTTCCTACAAGTCACATGATCGATATATTTAACAAACACATGACAGTCAATCAGTCATACCTCCTCACATATTCAAACATCCCTGGAAGGCGAGATTCCTTATCTCTGAAATCTTCAATACTGATGGGAAGTGGTTTCACAAAGTATCCTATGTCGGGCCTTAACTTGACAGGGAATTTCTTGTCATTGCAAAATAAAGCCAGTTTCAGAGGCAAAAGGTGGTGATGGAAACGAACTAGCAGAGTCCGCTTTGCTGTCTGACCAGGCTCCAGAGAAGGGATTTCCTCCATGGAAATCAGTGCTGGTTTATCAACATGAAATTTCAAGGTACTGCAACAGAGACATAAAAGTAGTCCGCATGAAGCACTTTGAAGCCAGCACGTAAAGATTTCACAAGGGTAAATTAGCCAGTATATATACCTAAGTTTACACGATGTACAGGCAATCTAAATTCAAATTTTCACCTAAAAGTGATAGGTACTAATTTATGGAACCCAGTAAAAACAAAAACATTTAAGCTATTAGAACATATCAATAATACAAATAAGTATATAAATTCCAAATTATAAAAGAAGAAAAATGAAGACAACCACCAAACAAAATCTGAAAAGATTAGAACTTACTTTTCAGTTGTTGGTGATGTTTGATTGGTAGAATCAGAGCTTTTGCTATAATCTTCATCTATCAAGACTATATCAAACATGGGCTCCAGAGAACAATTTTCAAACAATACTTCCAAACATACAAGGTGAGAGGATATGCTAGAAGTCTCAGATGAAAATGAATAATTCACCCTTAACCCATTTCCATTTGCAGGATCTAAGAGAGTGTAGCATTTGGGTTTTACTCGGCTGCCAATATTTCCGATGGTTATTCTTGCTGAAGAACTTCGAATTTGGCTTTGTTTTATCTCACTTCCTTTAGATGACCTGGTCGGTTCATCTAACCAAGACTCAAGAGACTTCGTTGACATCAAGTCCCGAAAACCAGTGTCACAAACATTGCTGGTGTCTGAAATCTGAATCAATGGTTTAGCATTATCTTCACCTTCATTACCAGAAACAGATTCATCACTGTCACTGGCATTGCCTGAACCAGTAATAGACTGTTCAGAACTATAATTAGAAGCACTTTCCTCATCCAAAGATCCAGATGTTCCTGGATCCTCCTCATCTGAATCACTCTTAGTAGCTCCATCATACTGATCAAGATCAGTGTATGGCAAGCTACAAGGTTTTGGGAGAGGCTCATAACCTGGAGCTGCATGGAATACTAACTGTGAAAGAGAGCCCGGGAGATAAAACCGGAAATCAATAGGTTCAGATTGAACGGTCACAGCTTTTGTCTGTCCGCCCAATATGCATTCTGCCAGTATATAGGACTGGTCTCTTTTTTGTGATTCACTATTTTCTTCCTCCCCATGTTGAGACTCCAAATTACTAGAGAGAAGTTTCTTTAAGAAACGTGCACGATCACGAATATCATATTTAAGGTCACATTCAGCCAGTTCAATTACATAACTCCAAATTTTTCTCATGGTCAAAATATCTTCTCCCTTAATGCACAATAAGACCTGTCACCGAAAGCCATTTAAATTATAAACTCATTACTTTTAATTTACTCTAACGCATTTTTTTCTTATATAAAAAAAGAAAAGAAGCATGCATATAAAATTCAGGAACATAGCATGTATGGTCCCAAGTTTTAACATCGGTTACTAAATAGTGCCATACACATTTAACAGTACATAAATAAAATTCAAATACAATTACATCTTCTAACTTAGAAATTGGGAAAGCAACAAACAATATAGAATGCATGGTGATATACATCAACCTTATAATATCTATTTTGGAAAGAAAAAAAAACTGTGCAAAGTGCAAACCATTTGTAAACCATATATAAATCAACCATATATTATGTTTGACCCTTGAACAACCAATGACTCCAAAATGACCACATGCAAATACTCACCAAATGGATCTGTAAAGCTCAATTGAAGAAAAGGAAGGAGAAGGCTAGTAGTAGAAAACATTTGTGCAATGATCATATTAATCCATCAAAAAACAACAAATATAAAAATTAAAATAACAGTTTTTTTTTCATAAAATAGTATAAAAATAATTTGATGACATACCTTTGCAGTTGTATTAAGAATCTGAAGCTTAGCTTCTAATGCTTCAGATGTAAAAGACCAAGCAAGATACTTAAGTACGGTACTCAACATCCTTGGAATTATCTCACCCAAAGAGCAATACTCCCCCAACATCCAAATAATCATCGCACGGGCAGCAGGAACCTTGATTTTATCCAAGCTACGGACTAACTGAATTATAACCTATTGAAATAAAAAGACTAGAGGTTTCAGTCATAACTGCACAAGAAATGTACCAAAAGATTGCAACTACTACTAACTCAAGAATGGCAATCCCACACACAAGATACTAGTATGCTGTCCAATCACAGGTTCAGTTTGTTCCACATACTCCATATTGTATCTATTCTAGAAACAAGTTTTAATACAAAAAAAGTAAAAAGGGAATAATGATACAAAGGGAGATGATTATATTCGAAGAATACCTTCTCATAACTGGGTGGTTCTAATTTTATAATTGATTTGATAGATATAATTGCCTGAACTAGCACACCCTCTTCTCCATCCAAGGATCTAATTTCACCACAAAAAAATTCTGCAAATATGGATATTAAACAAGAAACGTGATATATTTCTTTAATAAATAGACTTGACAACCAGATCACACACCTTGTCCAACCAGAGTCAACAATCCTTCCAAGCATGAAGTTGCCATTTTTGGAAGTCGCTGAGCACATAGACCAATGGCAGCAACTGTGTCAGCAGCAAATCTCCTATCCGGATCCCTGATATAATCCTAGCAACACACTAAGAAGAGTGTCAATTTACGCACCAAAGTCCATGATTTAAATGTCATGGCAAAGATAAATGCAAAAAACCATAAAAACTAATCAAACCTATGAACAGGTGACAGTGGATGTCAGCTTAAGCTCCCACCATGAACACCAAAAATCAGCTTAAATATTGATTAACATAGTTTAATCATATTAAAGAATACCTGAAACTCTTTATAAATGAAGGAAATGGATGAATCAGTGACAATAGAAGAAAGTATATCCAGCTTCAGTGCCTTTATCTGATAGGAATCTGAAGAGCATATGAAAAAATCTTGATAGTGTGGAGCAAAGAGAGATGGCATAGCTTTAGCAAACACTTGGATATTGCACAATACCTGCACAAGTAAATGAACAAACAATAATTAACATTGAAGTCAAGTAATGAAGAAATTGAGAATGTATGTTTTCTTGCCTTATCCAAGAATATGTTCTATGTATCCTATCTCTCCAAGTAATAATATTTTTATACCAAAAATATTCACTAGAGACAAAATCCAACATTTTAATTGGACGAGAGTAATACATGTCAATAGTAAAAACAAGCAAGATATCTCACAGGAACAATCAAACACCATTACCTCCCAAAAGATTCAGCAAAAAATACCCCTTGCAAAATTTTAACATGCTGCAGATACAATGCTATCTCTCATTGCATTAAGTAAAGAAATCACCAATCTCATCTACACTTTGAATATTGACATGAATGAATCATCAATCAATCATTTCGTTCATTCCAGGAAAAAAGCATTCTTTTTTACATGTCCGAGTAGTAAATATTTATTCGTTAATGCATATTCTGACAACTGTCACCACCCCCACAACTGAAAACCATCAAAATTCCAAAACAATGCCATTCATGTATAATAATAATAATAATAATAATAATAATAACAACAACAACAACAAAAATAATAATAATAATAATAATTAATAATATTAAAAGTTCTAACTTTGTACCCACACCATATGACTCCTCGAAGGGTCATGAACTTGTCAGAATGTAATAAATGAAGGATAAGACTAGGAATAAGATTATTACTAAGCCTGGTTGTTAAACTCATGTGTTAAATCGTAAATTTGTATGAGTTTATAGACCCAAAACGAGACAACTCGCATGCAAACTCGGGTTCGTGTAAACTTGGATCAAATTGGTTAATTCAGCGACAAACTTGTTAAACCAGCAAGTTTTGGGTTCGATTTTAGGATTTTTTTTTAAAAAGAATTGTTGAACCGCCCCAAAGTTACTTGTATTGAAGTCTTTTGAACAACCCCCCCCCCCCCCCC